AAACCGCTCTGTTATTAGTCGCGTTGTTCCCCTGTACCTGGGTGTGCTAGATTATGAATTGAGCGCATAAACGTTTGCCTGAATTTTTTGGTTGCAAATGGCCGGATACGACCAGTCGAAGTATCGCAATACAAACTCTTCGAGCTGAAAGGAAGAACAAAACTTTTAAGCTTAAGCGAGTGATGAATATTACCATCCAATAAGTCGTTCAGCTCCTCGTCGTTACGCTGGTCGTCGGCTAAATCGTCGTAATTTATAGGCTCGGTCGCAGGCGACTGGATTCGCGAAAACAAATCAGCAGCCACATTATCTTCGCCGTTTACATGGCGAATGTAGGTAGTGATTTGTGATATAAAATCAAGCTGGCGTACTTGACGGCTGGAAGCTTTATCCAGATATTGCTGGAATGCATAAATTAGCGGCTGATGGTCTGTATATATGTGACAACTTCGTCCTTCGACCATGTATCTGAAGTGTCGCAAAGCCAGATATACTGCAGTCAACTCTCTATCGTAGGTGCTGTATCGACTTTCTGTACTGGAAAACCTGCGAGAAAAAAAACCTAATGGTTGTAGCGCTCCGTCTACTACCTGATTCAATACGGCACCAGCGGCAAAGCTAGAAGCATCGACCCACAATGACATTTCCGCATCATGTACTGGATCGGCGAGTAACGCGCAATTTGCTAACTGATGTTTGCAGGAGTTGAAGCACTGTACGGTGTCCTCAGTCCACGAAAGTGCTGAAGTATCATTTCGACGATTGCCAGGAATCATGTCAAAAAGCGGCGCATGGGTTTCCATGGCATTTGGTAAGAAGCGGCGGTAGAAATTAAGCATCGCTAAGAACCGCTTTAAGTCCTTAACAATGGTAGGCTGCTTGAACATTAGCAATGCCTCAACACGTTCGGGGCCGTATACCATCCTCAGCTATGCAGTGACCAAGAAAGCGAAGCTCTGAAAGGCCAAACTCGGATTTCGCGACGTTTATTGTCAAGTTATTATCTCTCAGCCGTTGAAAAACTTGTCGAAGATGACCTCGGTGCTCATCTGCAGAAGTAGACGCAATGCAGACATCATCGAGATAAACGAATACAAAATTAAACCCGCGTAGAACCTCGTTTATGAGCCTTTGGAATGTTTGGGCTGCATTCCTTAACCCGAAGGTCATATGAGTGAACTCAAAAAGTCCAAAGGGAGTTGTTATCACAGTCTTGCAGATGTCTTCTTCATGAATCGGCACTTGATGAAAAGCCTTCTTCAAGTCAATTTTGGAAAAAATACATTTACCGGCCAAAATATTTGAGAAATCGTGGAGGAAGGGCAGTGGATTTCGGTCCGGAATCGTAACTGCATTCAAAGCCCTGTAATCCCCACATGGTCGCCATGAGCCATCGGCTTTACGTACCATGTGCAATGGGCTGACCCAATTGCTACTGGACGGCCTACAAATCCCCAGATTGAGAAGCGACTCGAACTCAGCCTTTGCCGCTACTAGTTTCTCCGGCGAAAGGTGCCGCGGTCGTGCGAAAACAGGCTGGCCAGTGGTGGTTATTCGGTGCTGAATTGACGATTTCATAGCTGCGTTTAGCGGGCGGGAATGTGTGATATCACTAAACTCAGTAAGAATGTTTGAAACATTAAAATTTTTATCGAATGTCTTGATACTCAATGCGCACGTTTTATCGATCTCACAAATCGATCGCAACTCTGTTTTGCGATCAAGCAAAAATTTTTGTTTTAAGTCGACCAAAAGTCCAAAATGAGCTAGGAAATCAGCTCCAATAATCGCTTGAGAGACGTCTGCTATAACGAAATTCCATACGAACTCCCGACGCAAATTGAGGTTAAGTTTGAAAATGGCCTCGCCAAATACTTAAATGGGCGAACCATTTGCGGCAAACAGTTTCATACCACTTGGAGAAGCTTGGACTGCGTTAGCGCACTTGGGGACAACAGAAACGTTCGCACCTGTGTCTATTAAAAAGTGCATCTTTGTTGTCGTGTCATAAATGCGCAACCGGTATGATTTTGCGGCTTCCGATAGTTTGCCCAGATCTGAAACCGGAGCATCCAAGCAGGCCTATAGAGACTTTTTGTTGATAAAAAATTGCAAGGTTCCCGGCATTTCGCTGCTTTCTCGCCGAATTTTGCATGGTACCAACTATCGGAAAAATGCTCTACGAGTTTTTGCTGGATGTATTTGTACTTAGCCTCCAACGGTGCAGCTTCTATCGTTGGCCGTAATTCCATCAGCTTCGTTGGCGGAACACTGGCAAGAACAATATTGAACTTCCTTGCATCGTTGGTTATGGACGATGCTTCGATCCAAAAGTCCAAAGAGTAGAAGTATGCGTCTTATTGTCTTCTGACATCACTGGCAATGGCAAACGTGGTGCAGGACCCGGGATGTCTAGAAGATTCGCATCGGATGCTCGCCCCGTGGAAACCATATGCTATCGTTCAACGGCATAGCGCTGAGGAAGATGCTTTTTCTTGATATTTAAAGTTACCTTGTCGGGGTCACCAATTGTAGATCGAGAGAGTTTAAAGAAAAGAGAGTTTATTCTAAAACTTTTCGACTTAAAAACTACTACAATAGTTGAAAAGAAATGTCAGATTAAACAAGTTCAAAGGAGTCATTGAATAAATGTCAAAAAGAAATGAAATGAGGTATAGAGTTGATTCTTACAGTTGCACGCCGTATCAAGTATCTCAGCGCCGGCAAAATAATGAAAGGTTGCCACATACATATATGTGATCATAAGTGGGCCGTGCCACGCCCATTTCCAAAATTTTACCATAAACGTATTTCTTGGTAAAGAACTGTTGCAAGCATCAATTTTGAATAAATTAGCTTTAATATTTACTGATTTATCGAAGATTTTGTATATCTCTACATTACCGTTATATGGGATGTGGGTGTGGTTATTGTCCGTTTTTTTTTAAATTTTCGGCCATTTAGTATGCTGTAGCAAGGCCAACAACTGTGCCAAGTTTGGAAGAAATTAGTGCAGCGGTTACCAAGATATACCCATGTAACCATAAGTGGGCGTGGCTTCGCCCATTTTCCAAAAATTTATAATATTCTTATTTTTCGTCTGAAAATTATTGTAAATATCAATTTTGAGAGAATTATCTTCAGTAGTTACTAAAATATCGCAGTTTTCGTATTTCTGGAAATTACCGTTATATGGGAAGTGGGCGTGGTTACAGTCCGATTTCGCCCATTTTCAATACCAACCTACCTTGGATTAAGGGAAACCTACACACGAAATTTCGTTGAGATATCTCAATTTTTGCTCGAGTTATCGTGTACACGGGCGGACGGACAGACAGGCATGGCTTAATCGATTTCTTTTTTCATCCTGATCATTTATGTATACATTTGTCTATATCTATCTCGATTCGTTTTGGCTGTTACAAACAACCGTTATGTGAACAAAATAATATACCCTTGTGCACAAGTGCGCTCGTGTATAATAACTCTTGTAAACCTTAGAATTTTGCAAAACTGCTCAAATTTAATTTTTTATGGTTGTAAACCGAATAAAGTGATTTGTGCGTAAAAATCTTGACCGTCTTGGGTGGCCCACTTGGGAGATTTTCACGCTATGGGAGTATTTCAAAACTATAAAGCCGCTTTTTCGAGTTTTGCTGTTTTGAATTATGACACTATTGAAGTAAATGAGCGATATGTAATTATTTATCAATTAAAAAGTCTTTTTTGTGAAATGAAGCTTGTTTTTGTATAAATATGTTCAACGCTTTATTATATTTCGTATATTTATAATGAAGTTGTTATATAAAATTATTGTTCTCTGCACAGCAGTAAGTAATAAGTGAAAGTTAAAATTTAATTTAATTTGATATCGATGTTTTTTTGGTTTTTGCAGTATCTTTTGTAATTCGGTTTTCTTTCGGTAAACCGAAAAGATCATGTTTTTATTAATACAGTTTTTTTGAACGGTTTAAAACCTGAATAAAAAAACGATTTTTTGGAAACGGTGCCCTTCCCTAGTAACTAAACTAAGGGCCGTTTTCTAATGTAAGCAGTAAAGTTACCTTTACTAACAGGGCAGATAAATTGTTCCTCACTTTAAAGTGTTTTCGTTGTCTTATCTTACCTGTAAAAATAAATTTGTTATTCCGTAGAGTGAAACTTCACTACATTTCCGAGAGTGAAACTTCACTACATTCGTCATAAAATTTCAAAGGTTGGCAATGCAACATAAGCAAATATAGAGCAAGAGCAACTGCTAGCAAAAACCAAAACCTTGGTTGAAATATCTAATAGATCTGACTCATGAACCAAAACCAAACCAAAATTTAAAGTTGGGTACAAATTTTAAAGGTTGCATCGGGTGAGCAACAGTTTATCGATTCGAGAAATTAATGCGCTGATGAGAAAACGAAAACTCGTATATCGAGACGATAAAGTGACCGGTAAACTAAAGGTTAGATGAGAAAACGGCCCTAAGTCTGGTATCAAGAACACCGCCTTCTAAAAACCTATCGATCAGCTATTCAACGCACGATCAAAGACTGATGCTGACGTCGTAGAATATTTAATAATCTGAAACAATCCGCAGAAATGCGTAACAAAACAAAACCAAAAGTTGCACGACGCTGTCAACGCTTGTGTTTTACTATCATCGCCACCACAAACGTGGCTAACGACAAGTGAACTTAGTCATCAGATTCGTTGTTAACGGCAATCTGCTAATAAATTGAATGGACACGACAAAATTTACGAAAAGGTAAATCGAAAAAAAATATTCTAGTTTTAGTACACAGTATTTTGATCGGTGCCATCACTGTCGATGTTTGCTTTTTCATAGGATTTTCTACCTTTGGCTTTGCAACAGCTCCGACAAATTTTGTTTTTGCATTTTTGTCTTTTCATTTGTTTGCTTTACTTTGCTGTTTTTTCAATAGATTACTTCATTTATTTACAACGCTGCCGACTCGGACTTTTGGCGGTCTTCATATGACAAAAGTCGGTCTTCGTAAGCGCGCGCTTCGAGTTCAGCTTTGCTGCGCTGCGCAACGACGCTGCCGCGTTATACAAAACTGCCCAGAAGTTAGCTTAGGGGCGATCGCCACAACTTGGCCATTCAGTACGATTTGAACGTTTCGTCTTGACGGTTGATTTGATTGGGCTGCAATGTCCACAGCAGTAAAGGTGTAAAGATGGTTATTGCTTAGAACCAGAATTTTGAGAAGTGAGTTGTATGAAGTGTCGTGCAGATATTACAGATTGTGATAAAGAGAAATCATCACAGGTGATTTACATATGAATGACTTATTGAAAAACAAAACTGCTTATGCCAACGATGGACAAGTCTGTGACTAAGAGTTTATTTTAAGTGCTTAAAAGGTTGGCAAAAATCAATAAAATGATGAAATTTTTGCTAAATATGAATTTATAAAATTTTAGGTTCCCATAAAAATTGCTTAAATGTTTAATAAATATGACAAAGTACTGAATTGTACAGCAAAATATAAAATAAAATGGACCCACGCGAGGTGCGGAGTGCAAAAAAAATAAAAAATATGTAATTGAAATTACTGTGTACTTGAATAAAAATAAAAATGTGAACGCTCTAAAAAATTCGCTGCAGAGTATATTGACTGACGCACAAAATAGTGAAAATGAAAAACAATGTTTCCCCGTTTTTACATATTTTCGGCTTAATCTCAATTTTTATTTATTTCAGCGGAAAAAACAAGTATTTTTTAACGAGAGATCACAGACCACAAGAAACAAAAAAGACAACTCGATGCAAAGATTTTTAAGAACTAAAAAGGGGTTCTTTTTGTGAAGCCAGTTTATAAACACTACCCTCTTAAAAGTTTAGTCGGTTGTTACTATAATCTGCAAATAGCTACAAAAATTTAAATTTGTTGATCAGAAACTAAGATTTTAAACATATGATTTTATTTGTGTAACGACTTCAACCATTAATTTTTTTCATTGAATCCATTAATCAGGAGGGTATTTTTGAGAACGTTTTTAAAAAATTGGCTTTTATAGGGTTCAGCAACCTTGATTTTTTTTTAAATAATAGAAAAACTTTTAACTTTGGAGTCGACTTTATTTTGACTATTACTACGGGACGTTCAGTTCATCTTTTTCAAATCAAAATTACCCTAAAGAGTGGGAGAAGCAACTCAAAAACAGATATGTGGTATTTGGTTTATCTTTAGTAGAAATAATCAGCAAACGGCTTAATTTTTAAATAGCATATTCCTGCATAAAAAAAACGTGTGCAAATATTACATAGTTGAAAAACAACTGTTGTAAAAAAATAATATAAACGGACCCTAATTTATTCGCGTAAATAATAAACAAAGTCTTGGAACTCTGACTGACAGTAAAATTATGTGTGAAAAATATTTTAAAATTTCGAGTTTTCAGTCTTTAAAGTGCTTTTACCATGCAAACTTGAAGCTGAGAGTGTGTGGTTCTTTAAATCGTCCTCTATTAACATATCAGCTTGGAGTAAAATTTTTGTTGCATTCGAAGCACGAAAATTATTTATTTATTATTAATATCCAGTTTCGCGAAATCAATTTAAGTGAGAAATATTTTTTTTTATTTGAATTTATATGTACCTGAAAAAAAAAACTTTTCACCTTCAGTGACTAAAACAAGTGAACACATGTTGATTTTTTTTAAACAATTTCAATTTAATTTTTTTGTTTTGTTTTATTTTTATCAAAATATTGTCCAAAGGTTTCAAACTTTATAAAAAATTTAGGAAAATTTAACAAATTTTCATCAGAATATCAAACTTTTCAATCTGACCTGAGTTTTATAGCCCATACAATTTTAGTCTAAAAGTTTTAAATTTTTATGAAAATTTGTTGAATTTTCCTTCATTTTGTATAAAGTTTGAAAGTTGTATTCATATGTTTTATGTTAAAGCTTGAACAATATTTGGATAAAAAAAATTAATTGAGAAACATTTTGATTATTTAAAAAAAATCAACACGTCGTCACTTGTTTGAGTCACTGAAAAAGTTAAATGGCACTTAAGTTTAGTTTTGGATTTTTTTTTTAACTTTCGTTGGTTTTCCGATCGCCTTCATTTCAATATGCCAAACATGTGGTATCACTGCTGCTTGTCCCTGTTGCATTTGTTTGTTTACATTTTGTGCTGAACAGCACAAACTGTTGCATATCTGATATTTATTTAGCCAATATTGTTTATTTAAGTATACTTAACAGTTTAAATATCTGATCTAAAGTGAATTTTTGTAGTTAATCAACAATCTCTTCTTAAATAGCTGGGACTAAGTTCTACCGCTTTATCGATATTCGTGGCCAATATACATAAGTATATTTAAAACCAGTCTCCTAAATATCGAAATTTGACTGTCCCTTAGTATTTATTCTGTAGTATGAGTACTTTATAAAAATTAATTTGGTAATTATCAACAGAGAAAAATCTTGTTAAAAAGTTCGGGATCCCAAAATGTTCGTAAAATTCATGCATACCGATTTTTTTTTTTACTTGTGCCTAATTTCTGCCACCTTAACTTCCGATTCCACGAAAGCAATTTAAGTACAAAATATTTTTTTTCTGTCACTTAACTTCAAATAAAAAAAACATTTTTCACTTAAATTTCTTTCGTGAAACCATGGTACAATAATTTTCAGAACGTAGTTTCACTTTTACTTCTTATCCGCCATGTTAGCCATCTGACAGAAAACGTGTTTCGTATGTTTTGTTGTACCAACTTAAAAAAAAAAAATCCAGCAATTTGACGTTGGAAAAATAAAACAAAGGAAAGCCCATGATACAAAAAAGAAGGTAGTTTCATTACTAATATTTTTTGATTATATAGCAGATTTTTGACATTTCTCCAGATGCAAACATTAAGCATAGCTTTGCCACATTGAAATTTTTTGAGAGGCGAGATTTTCTTTTAAATATTTGGCATTTAATAAAAGAGTAAAATTTACATACCAAAAAAACAAGTTCATGTGTTCGATAATCAAATTTGAACGTTTTTTCTCAAGCGTTTTAAAGATCCTGTGAATAATATCGATGTGCAGAGATGAAGTAATCCAGTTTTGAAACATTTATTTATTAAAACGGTTTTTTTCATTTTATTTTAAACAAAATAAATAAATTTACATAACAAAACTCTTTTTTTCATAGTCCGAAGAAGATGTATTGATAGATATTTCGTCATTAAAGCATAGTCCGAAACAGGCTTCGGAGAAGGTTGTATGGGCTCATTGCCTTACAATTAAACGAGTCACAATTCATAATTCTCCCGAAGTGAAGTATCCAGAAGTAATTCAGGATACAAAACTGTCGTGTAAATCTAACGTGGAACACAAAACCTCTAAAGAATTGGCAGCGTTTTGACAATGTAAGCAGGTCTTTGGCAAAACGTGGGGTGTGTCACAATAGGGAATCCTCTGGATTTATACCTCTATGATCAGACCCATAATTATCTATGCGTCAGTGGTATAGTGGAGCAGGTTCTCAATCAAGAGCGTGGGAAGTCTGCTTGCTAAACTTTAAAGAACTACTGCCTTGTGCTGTCCTGAAGCTTTCTCTACAATACGTGGCGCTGCTCTTGATGCACTGCTGCACTTACCGTAACTTTGTGTCTTCCTACGAGGGGAAGCTTTAAAGGCCACCTGCAGACTAAAAAGAAACGGATGCTGGTATAACACTGAGTGGGGCAAGGCGGAAATTGCTAGCGGCAGAGATCTGAGCACTTGTGTCTTTTCAATGTCACAGGATAGTACGCCACCTTTACCTTTGTTGAAGAGGTTCTATAATGTTTAGTTCCCTGCAGCTGAATGATGGTTTAATACCAGCACTGAGCCCGGAATCACACATAATCGAATCTTCAATGATGACTCCAAAACTGACTCTCTCTGGGACTTTTCTCTGGGGAAGTATGCTTCGGTCTTCCAGGCTGAGGTATTTGCAGTGACAGCCAAACTGCACTTAAAGCATTGGGCAGCCCACTAACTACTTACTTCCAAACTCTGGGTGCCAGTTCAACTGGCAGTAACTCCTATCGTCCATAACTATAATATCTATCATAGCATGAAGCACCGAAATTAAAGCCTTACCTTTGCAAAGCACATCCAAATCCTTTTCGGTGACTGGCTTTAGAAAAACTAATTCAATAATAGCTGATTTTTGCGGTGGACAATATATTTACCGGTCTTTTATTTCAAAGAAAAAGTCAGTTGGTTGCTTTTTCAAATATGGCGATGTATGAATTTCAATTTTCGTTATTGCTCAGATCGAAGACCAATTTCCTTTTACTTTTCTAAATATTTTGTTTTTACACTAAATAAATGATTATTGAGGATTAGGTATGGTAGCACGAAATGTCACAATCTGCTTAATTGTCAGGTAATTAATATGGCGCCCGAAAAGTGACAATCAAACTACCTTCTTTTTTGTATCATGGGGAAGCCAAACATACATATATGTAAGTGAGAAATTTTCTAATATATTTTAAAATTTTCTCCATAAAAAAATATGAAAAAATTAACTGCTTTTCCGTGGATGTATAGATGGATGAATATATGTAAGGATACAGCTATAAGAGCCACCGCTCAGCACAGACTTTATCGGCCGTCTATTTAAATAGTTGGGGCTCTCTTGAAATATGTACGTGAAGATCTATGGAGGTGCGCATACTATACCAACTTAATCGCTCCGACTAATTCGTTGTGTAGCAATGGAAAGACTAGCAAGCCCAACTAAATCGGCGGCCGATAAAGTCCGTGGTGTGCGATGGATCTAAAACATTTTAAACAAGAAATATTGTCGTCGCATTTCCGTTTTCCCATTTTTATTCATGCGACTAGCAGTGGCAAGTATGTATGTATTAAAAACATATATGTATACATATTAAAAATGAAGTGATCAGTTACCAAATATAGAAATACTTATGTACATATTCTGTTAAAAAATATCTTCAATAATAAGCGAAAATACCCAAGATCTACATCGTAGCAGTGGCTACATTGCGTTTTTGTCACAGACACGGTTTATGTCAAAAAAATTTGAAGTGAAACTACCTTCTAAAAATTATGTGTCACATGCGTGAAACTGGCTGTAATAATAGTTTTCAGAATATGCGTACGAATTTGTGAAAGAAATAGACGCTAATATTTTTAAAAGAGGGTAGTAAATATGTAATAAGAAGACAGAAAAATTTACCACATATTTTATACAATTTGCCTTTGTTTTGTTAAAAAGAACTTATGCATATAAGATACATACATACATAGTTACATGTGCATCCAATTTGTTACTTATTAACGAACAAAGCGATCAGGCTGAAGTAATCTACGAATACTTACTAAAATCCGATTAAATTATACGACAAATTGTTTTAGTACAATGTAATAAAGAATATTAACGAAAACACTTTTAAGTTGTCAAAACTCATCAAGAATTAAAACTTAACAAAGTTAAAGTGTGAATAATAAATCCAAAAAAAAAACGCGATTAAAAAAAAATGCGTTCCAAAATCGCACCGTACCTTGTGGGAGCGCACCTCCTGCTGCTCGCGCTACTCACATTGAGCGAAAACAGCGCGCATGCGCTCAACACAGCCGAGGCAGCAGCAAATCCGACTTGTTCACTGAAGGACAATTGTAATTTGAATGACAACTTCCTGACAGACACTGGTGAGATAAGTGACAAGGCGGCCAGCAAATTGGAGAATAAAATTAAATCCATTTTCGAGGATAAAGTAAATTACAGCCTCAAATTGTTCGCCGATGAAGATGTCATAGAGTACAACGCATTGGAAAGCAATTTATCAGAGCGCGCACGCATGGCGGCGACATCAGCGGCGAATTTAACGCTACGCCAGTTCCAAGACGCTGCTGATGTAGAAAATGATGAGCGAGGTGAGTCAGAAATTTATGTAAACGGGCCTCTTTGCCGCCTTTTTTGAATATCCGCATCACGTATCGATACCAGAGTAGAAGATCGACCTATCTCGGCAGCAAGTTGTAGAACGCCCTATCTCAGAAAACTTTTCAAGAACGCTCTACTTCTTAATTTGCTTGAAAAACACCCTATCTCAAAATTTGGTCTCAGCAGCTGCCGATTCAAAAACGCCCTATCTTAGCACATTTTCAATGTATTTTCAGCTGAAGTAGGTTCTTGAACCGAATTCTGAGATAGGGTGTTTTTCAATAAAATTCTGAAATAGGGCATTCTTCAATCAAATTCTGACGTAGGGCCTTCTTGAAAAGTTTTCTGAGATAGGGCGTTTTCAAACTTGCTGCCGGATAGGTCGATCTTCCACTGAGGAACAGCGAAAAGTGAGTGTGTATATGAGTACTTACAATAACCAAAATATTTCACACACATATTTCACGCACATATGTTGGGTAGCGGACCAGCGATTAGCGACCTTCATAGCTTAAAATGTTTGGCCTGACTTATAGTTACAAGCCGCGCCAATTGCTTTTGTACTCCCCATTACATACCTGCAAATATTTACAATTTCAGTCACTGACTGAGCAAGTCAATATTAACTTTTTCTCGCATGTATACATTTTCTTTTCTTTCTTTCCTTTCCACTCTTGTATTTTTGCAAAATCATTATATCAATTTTTCGGCGGACCTAAACCTAAATATCAAATTCTCAAGTGCGCGTTTCACATACCACAAATATTGGTCAGTGCGAGTAGATGCAAGTACGTACATACATACCTTTGCATACGGGTATGTACATTTGTTTGCATAAATTTAGCTTCGAAATAGTTTTTAAATTTCTTCGCACATAAAGTTTCATCACCGACTCTGACCGTTGTATCCAAATCAATTACCAAACATTCAAGTATGTGGACAAAAAACACAAACATTTTTATTTTAATTATGAACTTCAAACACGTCTTAAAGCGCAAAAATACTTTGCTGTACGCATACTGGCTTTACTCTGTGTTAAAAACACTTACAAATATGTACATTAGGGCGGGGCATTATGGGAGATTTTTCGACTATGCGCGTATAGCACAGAAGGATTATACGTGTAATTCTAAGCGAATTTGCTGAAGGAACAATGGGTCTTAAATAAATTTTCAGTTGCCAAATTGCGAAAATAGGTTTCTTAGCATTTTGCTGTAGTGTCGTAAATAAGTGCTTAAATTTTGTATAAAAACATGCTACAGGGGTTTTTTGGTATGAGAAATCCATTTCTGCACTTATCTTTTTCTTAAAACTTCCACCAGAAGGCGCAACAGTGAAAATTTTCACATTTTCTTCGAAACCTATTTTCGCAATTCGGCAAACTCCAAATTGATTTTAGACCCATAGTTTCTTAAGAAAATTTGATTAGAATTGCATGTAGAATCCTCCTATGCTATACGCGCATAGTCAACAAAAATTTACTCGCCCTGATATACATATGTATATGTTTGTACCAGGGAAGCCAACTCGTGGGGAATTCTCCGATTTACGGGGAATTTCAGTTTGCGTGGGGAATCGGGGAAAGAACCATTTTTTGTGGGGAATTTCAGTTTACGTGGGGAATCGGGGGATGAACTGTTTTTTTTTGTGAGGAATTAGGTGTTAACTAATTTGTTTCTTTTTTGCTTCACTCATTTTATAATGAGTTAAAAAAGTTGCATAAGAAATGCAACTGCAACAAAAGTACTGATTATGCAGCCCTGATTTGTTACAATTTTCTTTGGCGCGTTTGCTGTCATATAACGAATAACACAATTTATATTTATATGGAGGAAACCGCACGCCTTCTGCAAAAAAATTCTAAAACAAAAATTGTTTGCCACTTAAAACTTGCACTTTATTAAATTATAATTGAGTGGGTACAAAACTTTCATAAATCTTTCTAAAAAATCTAATTAAAATGCTCCAAATTTTTGCGAAGGTTTGTGAATGTTTTTTTTTTTTTAATATTGCACAAAGTTTAAAACTTGGATTTATACGGGGTTTGTTAAAGAATGAGCTATGTATATTAAAACAAAAAAAACTCAAACTAAAAAAAAAAAATTGCGAAAACTGTTCAAACTTTTAAATAAATACTTATTATATATACATTTTTTATTCTTTATTTGTTAACTAACCTTATGTGTGCTCATATTCTTAGATTGGGAACGTTTCTGGCAAATTTTTTTTTTTTTGTTTCACTTTTATTTCAACATACTTTGATTAAAATAAAAGTACTGATAAAAATAAAATTTTTCATAAAAAAGGGGTTAAAATCGTGAAATTCCTGCCCGTATTTTGTTTGTAAGTCAAATATGAGTGACATTGTGCTACTATGATAGCACGGCCAACTTATGTACAGTAGTCGAAAAAATTATAGCCGCACCAAATTTTGACAAGTTTTAAAATATTATTTTTGTTGTTATTTAATTTCGGTTAGTTTTTTATAGTTCGTTCTTTACCAACATCCGTATAAATACAAGTTTAAAGGCAGTGTCACACGATTGGGTATTTGCCAAAATTTAGTGTAAATCGTATCCCAATTGTGTGAATACCCAAAATATTTTTCACTATCCCAATCACAACAAGTAAGAAAGTCTAAGTTCGGGTGAAGCCGAACATTAAATACCCGGCGCAAGTATTAAATATATGTTTTTTCACCTTTCCGAAAGCTACCGCTAGATGGTAAGCTGGGGTGTATCAAGTTTGAGTAAATTAGCGTCCTTAAATTTCGAAATATTGCAGTTTCAAGCACTTCTGAAATTTACCGTTATATGAAAAGCGGCCGTAATTTTAGTCCGATTTCAATAATTTTCAACGTTTTGCTTTTACGTGGCAAGCACAATAAAAATACCGAGTTTGGTACAAATTGGTAGAACGGTTACCGATATGCATATATGTGACCATAAGTGGGCGGTGCCACGCCCATTTTTCAACATTTTACCATAAACGTATTTCTTGGTAAAGAATTGTTGCAAGCATCAATTTTGAATAAATTAGCTTTAATATTAATTGATTTATCGAAGATTTTGTATTTCTCTAAATTACCGTTATATGGGATCTAAGCGTGGTTATTTTCCGATTTTTTAAATTTTCGGCCATTTAGTATGCTGTACCAAGGCCAACAACTGTGCCAAGTTTGGAAAAAATTGGTGCAGCGGTTACCAAGATATTCACATGTAACCATAAGTGGGCGTGGCTACGCCCATTTTCCAAAAATTTCTAATATTCTTATTTTTCGTCTAAAAATTGTTGTAAATGTCAATTTCGAGTGAATAATCTTCAGTAGTTACTAAAATATCGCAGTTTCCGTATTTCCGAAAATTACCGTTATATGGGATTTGGGCGCGATTATTGTCCGATTTTTAGAATTTTCGGCCATTTAGTATGCTGTACCAAGGCCAACAACTGTGCCAAGTTTGGAAGAAATTCGTGCAGCGGTTACCAAGATATACACATGTAACCATAGTGGGCGTGGCTACGCCCATTTTCCAAAAATTTATAATATTCTTATTTTTCGTCTGAAAATTATTGTAAATATCAATTTTGAGTGAATTATCTTCAGTAGTTACTAAAATATCGCAGTTTTCGTATTTCTGGAAATTACCGTTATATGGGAAGTGGGCGTGGTTACAGTCCGATTTCGACCATTTTCAATACCAACCTACCTTGGATTAACGAAAACCTACGTACCAAATTTCGTTGAGATATCTCAATTTTTGCTCGAGTTATCGTGTACACGGACGGACGGACAGACAGACATGGCTTAATCGATTTCTCTATTCATTCTGAGCATTTATGTATACATTTGTCTATATCTATCTCGATTCGTTTTGGCTGTTACAAACAACCGTTATGTGAACAAAATTAATATACCCTTGTGCACAAGTGCGCTCGGGTATAAAAATTAATTTATTGAAATTTTTCAATAGAACATCGCGGTATTGTACCAGTCTTTTGAATTGTCCCATTTTTTTAATAGCCCAATATAAAAATTTACAAATCTGTACAAATGTACCAATCGAGTGACTGCCTTAAAAATTTATGCAATTTACAAAAAAATCTACAAATTATCGTTAAAATTTCGAGTTTTTTAATTAAATTCTGAGTATGCAGTTTTGTAGCCCATTGAATTCTAATAGAACAAAGTACACGTTTCAAATGGCTAAAAATGTCGATTGATTTTTTAGAACTTTTAAAAGTTCGAAATTTTTACGAAAGTTTGTTGAATTTTTTTTTAATATTGCACAAATGAGTAGTCCACTTGCCAATAGCGTTATGCGATTTTATAATAGTGAGCCATAAATAAAAAAACTTCTACAACAACAAGTAACATCCAAATTGTATATTTCTCTTTAAGTATTATCTGAAAATTTGGATATACATGAGCCTAATAACATTAAAAACCAATATCGCAGTGTGGTAGTTTTTGCAAATTTTATATATAAAAATTTAATATAGCGAGTTTTGAAACAGCAACTTTTACATAGCTATCTTTTTTTAGATTTTCGCCTTCTCTCTTCCATGAAGATTGGTCTGCTTCTTTTTTACGACGCCTTCCACTAGGCACCGAAACTACCACGTTTTCTTGCAGTTTTCTAGGCTCATCAGAAGATGGAGACTTTTGAAAGTGTATAAATAAGTATTATAGCGACTTTTGCAATAGTGGTTAACATTTAATGGTATTTTTTCAGAAAATATAAAGATTTTGCATTGTATTGTTAGTGGACATGAAACTACTTTAAATACTGGTACGTTACTCACCAAAAACTAACAATCTAAAAAAATTTACATAGCGCCTTTTCAAGTGGACTACTCAAATTTGGAAACATGGATTTCCACGGAATTTGTTAAAGAATGAAGTATGTTTTTATTTAAAAAATAACAAAAGTTCAATAACAACAAAAATAATACGTTAAAACTTGGCAAAAAGTGGTTCGGTTATAATTTTTTTACCACTGTATGTATTTTTTATATCTTAAAAAAACCTAACCACGCCCACTTCTCTTATAA